CAAACTGAAGCACAGGAAGTTCTGTCTGAACATGAGGAAGAACTTCCCTCTGAGGGTGACGGAGCACTGGAACAGGCTGCCCAGGGAGGTTGTGGAGTCTCCTTCTCTGGAGATATTCAAGACTCGCCTGGACAAGGTCCTGTGCAGCCTACTGTAGGCGACCCTGCTTCGGCAGGGGGGGTTGGACTAGATGACCCACAGAGGTCCCTTCCAACCCCTACCATTCTGTGATTCTGTTATTTTATGTTATGATTTATGGTGGTTCTGTGGTAGTCCGTGATTCAGGTATTTCAGGAACCACTGCTTTACTCATAGCACTACAACAAATTTAACTGTGGCAGTGGTACAACCTTCTTCTGAAGACTGCATCAGGGTCAGACGTACAAAACATCAAAAGTATCTGAAGTATGAATTAGTAATACAAACAGATTTATGTACCTATTTTTGTAAAATTCTTGCTGCCTTATGGAACTTGTTTGTGCAAAGTAAGATAAAGACAGTGGTCAAGAACTTCACATCAGTTTAACTTATGTTTTATTTAAATATAATGATTTCTAATATAATGTGAGGAATACTGAAAGAAACAGCTGGCACTTACAGTGAATTATCTCACACAACACAGTTCTTCTCAAGATAATTCAGGTTTAGAAAAACAAATTCTGTAGTATGCCCATTACAGAACACATATGCACATGTATTTATAAATATATATGCACATATTTTCCCAGTCATTTACTAATTGTGATACTGAGTTTGAATCCAACTCTGTAAACGCATTCTATTAACATGTAGGTTCCTATTTTATTAACACAAATGATCACCATAATGCAAAAATTACTGTCTCAGTGAATAGGGTACAACTTTGCAAAAATATTCATTTATACCCCAAATATTGGGTCCTTTTGCCACAGGAAAAGTAGAGGGGAGACTTCTGGTTTTCTTAATTTGTTTGGAGGACAAGTAAATTCTGCCAACTTCCAGGACTGCTGGTCTGACTTTTTTGTGATTACTAAGTTAAACGTGTCTTAATGGAAAAATGACTTAGGCTTTCTACTCACATGCTTTCAGCTGTGAAAAATAATACTATATTTAAATGACACAGGCCATAGGGCACTCTCCAAAGACACAGAACTCTCTAGGGCCTAGAAAAAATGCTAGTGTGGAATCTAAAATGTATTGCAGAGCAGAGGTGCCACATGGTTTCAGAAAACCTTCAGAGATATGCAAATTAGTCTGTAATCTTCAGGATGTGTTATGTTAATTAAATTTCCAATCCTCATTACTGAAGATTTACTTGAACTAGCTATTTATTTAGTGATTTTTGAAAGGGATGGTGAACTAAAGAGCTGCATCGCAGTTACTGCAGTTGCCAGTGTATTGTTTTCACAACCTCATGGAAAATGTATGAAAGAACTTTCTGCATTTCTGCCTTCAGGCTATCCAGGCTATTAACGGCCACACCAACATGTCTGCTGAAGAGTTCACAAACATGGTATTTGAGAAGATAGATGTGAACAATGACGGTAAGAATCTAGGTTTTCTTCGCATTGGCAGGGATTTTCCCCCATAAGGAAGTACAGGAGCAAGAGGGGAGTTGAACACACAATTGAAAAACTGACTTGTAGATGAACTGAAGGCCTGAATCTGCTCCTTACTCATAGTGCATCAGCTTTACAGTGAGGCGTAAATTAACTGACTCTATTAAGATGACATAGGAATTACATGCAGTAGGGGTTAAAACACAGAGGTTTTCCACTGTTCATCCAAAATGCCAGTCCTCTGGTTGCACAGCAAAATGAAAGTATGATCAAGGTTATTTTTTTAGTATATTTGTGTTGGCTTAACCTATCTAAAATGGATAAGAAAACCAATTAAGACACATGGTTGCACTGGCTCTAGCATGTTCTAAAGATTGGACAGCATATTGGATGTCCCTTGAAGGCTGATCGTTAACACGTGCTAAGACACATGCTACTGTTTTTTCTCGAGATAGCTAGATTAAGCCAATTGGACTTGCATTTGGAAACTAAAAATTTAACTCACTGCTTCAGAGTTATCTCTAAAAGAAAAGCTGTCACGTGTGAATGTCTGCCCTCATACTTCTAATCATGAAGATCCTCATTCCACTGGCAATTACATTTTACATGAATTACTGCAATCATTGACAAAATAAGAATATCAGGAAAGCATTGCAGAGCACAATCAGATTCCAGCTAGGAATTTTGGGCATTTTGTTATTCATTTTTCTGGTCTTATTTGGTGTGTTAAGGTTACTTTTAAAAAAGCTGTTTAAAATCAGAGTATAAACAGTGATCTTGTGATGCATGTGAATAACTCGTAGAGGATTTTTTCCCCACCTGCTTGGCCCATCTTTCAGTAAAAGCAAATTACCAAAGGACTCCAAATAATACTCAGTCATATTCTAGAATCTAACCCAAATTCTATGATTATTCATACTTTGGCCCCCACTTGACCATGTGTTTATTGAAAGCAATAACTGTATCTGAGCTAGACCATGAGCTGAAAAAAAAACTTTGTGTCTTACATTTTAGCAACGATATGAAATATTCAGAATTATGTTCATAATACTCCCATAACAAACTGCTTTCCATAGTTTGTTATTTTTTAAATAGCTGCAAAGCAGCTCCACCTGAGGAATGGGACAAATTTTACCAAGTTTAGCTTAAACTGTGCTACCTCCTTGTAAGTTCTTATTAAAGAAAAGGGCAAACAGGCAAATAAGTTGCAATGTTCTTCATCACATTAAAATACAAGAAATAATCCCATGGTTTTAGGGAGCAATTTTTAAAACAGACCTCCTGATGGCTTTGCAATTTATTTTCTCTACCTCAATGACATCTGAGACCCATGGTCACAGTGAGTCTGGGCATGCCAGTGTAATCAGCTGTCACTGTTAAACTGCAGTGGTTTTTGTATGCTTCCACATTGGTATTGGTACTTTGAAACATGTAGCCTGAGACTGAGAGGAGGGAATTCAAGACCAGCTGACCTGCATAAGCAGGAAAATGATGCAGTGTGTCCATGAGATGAGTCCAGGAACACCACCCACCCAAAGACCTCAGTCAAAGGCAATACCAATGGAAGGAGATGGGAAGGAAGAGAAGTGCCTGGGATAGGAGAGATCAGAGGAAGCGAGTGGATGAGCAGCAAAGCCGGAGGATGCAGCCAAGCGTACAGAGGTGGCTTGCTCCATCTCTGCTCCTGGGATGATCATATAAGGGCACCGGGGTTGAAAGAGGAGGCACGAACGTCCTCAGGGCACTGCACACCAGCTCCTGGAGAGGGTCTTACTCCTCTCACTGAAGCCTTACAGCCAGGACTTCTGCCAAATGATGTCTTTCCACTTTAATAGCGTGTATATGAGCCTGCTCACCAGTGCAGCAAGGACCCATACGACTAAAGAGGAAGCAGCCTTAGCTGCCCAAGGGTAGAAAGTGATTTTCACATTTTTCAAATGCTGATCATTTTCCTTTTTCACATTAGATGAAGTTTCCAAGGTTGCCATGAACAAAAACCAAGACACAAAAAAACTCCGGGGAGTACTTAAATCTGAAAATAGCCACAAGTCATCTAGCTAAGCATTCACCAGAAGTGCACGCAACTTGAATTGCTGCTTCCCTTTACCCTGGGGCCCTAAGGCATCCAGCTATTTTCCTCTTTGCCTGGCCTCTTGTCGTTTCTTATTTCAGTGAGAAATCATTCATTGTTATGATTTTAACAAGAAACTTTGAACTGTTCTCAGAGGAAAGAATTAAGCTCTTGCTATTAGACCAAGCTCTGTTTCCCCTTTCAGAGAAAAAAATATATCACTGGAATAACTTCTAACCAGAGAATTGTGTACACTCCTGTGTACCATAGGAGCAGACACATTCCTAGGACTGGCCTTTGCTGACAGAGAAGAGAGCAGGAAAAGAGGAAGAATGCTAAATGATATTCCTGCTCCTCAGTAAAAGAAATTTTATGGTTGTCTCTCAGCTTTCAAGGTATTATCTGATTATGACATGAGCCCAGAAAATCACGCTCTAAATGGCCATTTCAGTTGCTTGGAAGAATTTAGCTACTCAAACCACTTCACAGATTTTTTTTTTACTACATTTTATTGTGGCTCTAAATAATCCTAGTAATCAACACAGGGAGTATGCATGTAATCCTCACCAAATCATGCCTAATCTCTGTTAAAACCAACTCTAAGATAAATTTTAGTTAGTTCAGTGAAGGGTAGTCCATGCATCTAAATTCAGCCTTGATACAGGCTTCATTAGCACCCTTTTTCACACATTTCTGTCACCATAGCTACTGAGCACTCATAGTTTTTTAGACTTCTGTGAAATATGTGTTTGGTCTCTTTTAACAGAAAAAAGCAAGTCTAAATTTTAAGATCTGATGCAAAGTGGGAGAACATTAGAAAATATTCTGCCTGCATTTGCCTATCAGTAGAGAACGGGGAACCTTCCTGATGGATTCAATCTGGCATGAATGGCCTTCTGTGGGGTTGAGAGTGATTGCTGGGTTCCTTGGTTCCTAAGAAGTATCTGATTTCCTTTTAGGGGAACTGACTTTAGAAGAATTTATCAATGGTGTGGAAAGAGATGAGGACCTCTTGGAACTGATTACAAAAAGCTTTGACCTTTCCAACGTACTCAAAGTCATACAGAGCGGCAGAAGACACAGCATCTGATGGATCCAGTGACAGATGTGGCATCTGTGTCATCAAGGAAGATAATATTTCATACATTCAGAGAGCTTGATGTCTTCAATGCCTGCCCAGGCTATACCGAGCAGCCTGTTCCAGGAGCAACAATTTTCACTCTTGACTCCGTATCTCTCCTTTTCTTGTCTTTATTCTTTCCCTCGCTAATGACTGTGCCAGCCACAGGACACAAACCTTTGCCCACGTATAACAGAAAAGCCATTTGATGGAGTACAAATAACTTATTTGGTCTCTATGAACATTGTTCAGAGTAACCAACAAAACACTAAAACTATTGCAAAGTGCTGCCTTTCCGGAAGACACAGAGTTAATAAATTTATTCTTTTAAGTACAGGCTCTTTAACCTACTGTCTAAAGTGTGGACATAAACTCATAGGTAGGGCTGGGTTCTGTCCGGATCAATTAAGAATGAAGCCTGGTCTGTATTAACTTAACCTTTGCTCTAATAGGTACTCAAAATAGGAGTAAGCTCTCTGGGAAATGCCTCAGTCAGGTTAATATTCCTGAGATGTGCATCCTCCTTAACAAGCTGTCTACCGTCATGATTTTATTACATCCATAAATTAAAATAATGTGATGTTTTGATGGTTTTGGCAAGGTTCAGGTACTGTTCTTCCAAATTAACCTTTTACTGAAGCGCTGGAATGAAATTTTGTTATCTTTGTAGCGTAAAATTAGATTTCAAAGAACAGCTAAAACAAAATCATTTTGTAAGCACTCTGTTTTCCCAAAGATTTGTGTCCTTTGACCGGTACGTCCTCCTTTTCCAAACAATTAATTTTCAC